GACTGAAGCATCCTTTGTGCTCCAGTCAATCCTCTCAGTAAATACAGAGCTGAGTCCAGATCAAATGCACGCTGAAGGCTCTTTGAGCATGTTCTCTCTCAGTGATTGTGCTGTTATGTTAAATGTTTGTTGTTTGTTTTTCATGTGCTGGGTCTTGATATTTGTCTGTTGATGTTACACATGGAGCAGCTGTGATGCAAGTCAAATTTCAGACTTGATCTGACCATTAAAGTATTATCGTATCGTATCGTATTCACTATGGACAGTTTGTCTTTGCCAAACAACATGGATGGAGCATGAACCTCCTCATCAGCTGCCAGACCAGCGCCAGCGTGTGCATGCGGCTCCCAGAGTTCAAGTTTTCTCCTCCGATGCCGACCAGAGAGAAGTGAGCGACGTCCCTGCCGAGCTCCACAGCATAGTTGCAGTTCTCCAGCTAAAACACGTGAAGAAGAACAATGTTACTTTCCTTTTATGTTCACATCAACATGTAGTTTAGTTTACGAGCTTTCTATTTCTCTGTTTTATGTGCACACCTTCTTCATGTTGGCCCCCAGGACGGGATACGGCGGGTTGTTGACTTTCTTCCAGTTAACGGGCACATTAACCTTCTCACAAAGCTGCAAGATCACCAAACCATCACAAAGGTCCCTGCAGAGGACAAACAGAGAGAGAGAGTGAGGAAATGAACATCAGAGCAGAAACAGTTGCTTTTTCTGTTACAGTAGCCCATGTAAAAAAATAAAGAACCATGTAATAAACAGAACAGAATAAAAAAAAGACTTAAAACATTTATTTTGATTCAGTATCAGCTTAATGGAGCTCCTGTTCAGGTGTTTAACCCTTTGTGGATATTACAACGGCTAATTTCAGTCTATTGTCAAATCAACATGTTTACATTTCATTATTTCTTAGCCAATAAATCAATGTGGAATCCAATATTTCCATACCAGATTCAGATACTCATTACATATAATTTTACATTACATTATTACATTGCATTTAGCTGACGCTTTTATCCAAAGCAACTTACAATAAGTGCATTCGACCAAGAAGATACAAACTTGAAGAAAACAGAATCATATAAGTACATCAGGTTTCATAGAGCTAAAACATTTCAAGTGCTACTCAACCGGCTTTAGATAAGCCAGTCCTTTGTTAGTATATAAGTGCTCTGTTAGTAATTCTTTGTTAGTAATTCTATCGATCGAAGTGGAATCGAAAGAGATGAGTTTTCAGTCTGCGTCGGAAGATGTGTTGGCTTTCTGCTGTCCTGATTTCAATGGGGGTCATTTAGCTGATGCTTTTGTACAAAGTGACTTACAATAAGTGCAAAAACCATAAAGAATCAAACAAGGATAGAGCAGATATATTCACTTCAAGCAAGTTCATACCATAGTAAGTGCTGGTGAATTAGTAACAAGGCCTACAATAGCTAAATTGCCAAGGTACAATGACCCCAGCCTGTTTCAAATCTTGGTTAATCTTGTTAACACTTGTTACAGATGAGGAAATGACTCATTCTGAAGGGACTACAGAGCATAGCCATTATTTTAAAGTAAATTAAAGGTTAGTTTAAGATAAGGATGCTGGTAAGAAAAGCTGTAAAAAAAAATACAGAAAACCAACTAATAAAATTGCTATACCCTTGAGCAAGGCACCATTTTACCAGTAGAGCCTTATGATACTATAATAGCAATAATAACGTGAATTCATTGCACCATTCAAAAACAAGTTCAGAAGGTATTACAGTTAAGGTACAACTGTCCCCTCTTTACTGCTCTTATCAATGGTTCTTCTGGGTATAAATATGTAAAGGTATGGATGTTTAACAGGCCTCCACTTCCTTGATTAGGTTAATGTATAACATGACATACCAGCACAGGTGGTTGACGTATGGGGAGACGCCCAGAGAGTTCATCCAGTTTCTAAATGTCTTCTCTTCGTTGGTCTCAGCTGTAAATACATAAAAAAACATCAACATTTCCTCCTTCTCCAGCTGCCCCCACACATGAACTGTCAGCTGATAGGATACCTTTGGGTGCAGCTATAGGTTGTATACAGATATGGATTTATGGATGATATAAATTGCTGTTTTTTTTTGTTTTTATTGCTTTTATCATGCAGTACTATTTGCACTGGAGTGTGCATGTCAGCATTTTATGACTGAACTTTCATTTCAAGCCTCAATGCTATAACATGACGCTGCGTAATGATACTGGATGAATGATTATATTCTATGTCTCACGTGCTATTTCTGCCGGGTCGATGTCGTTTCCGTTGATGTGAGTCTTCTGCAGGGCAGGGTGCATGTTGAACAGGTTGGCGACGAAGGCCAAGTTGAGCTTGCTGTTTCCAGATGTGACGTCACGAGGAGAAACAAACTGTCTGCAGTCCAGCCGCGCCGCCTGCTTCAGCATTAGCTCCGCCCTTTTGTCCAAATTATGTTCCTACACATGCACATCAAACAGACACGTGTACATGCTTGGTATCAGACACTTTGGATATATTTTATAGGTCTTCATCTTTTTATTTCTGTTGTACCTATATGTTCACTTTGTTTTATGGGGTTTTATATTGTATATTGTTGCATCGACTCAGTTGTCTTAGGCGCTTTCACACCGCAGTACTTTTTCCACAAAGGTTCATGAGAACTTAGTTCATCAGAACTCTTTAGTTCTGATGAACTAAGTACAGATCGCGTTCACACCGGAATAAGTCCCTGGGGAAGGATTAGGCAAATGAAGCCGCTGACGTCACTTCTTCTTCTTCTGCTTTGGGTTTACTGGCAGTCCGCAAACAACTTCACGGCGTATACTGCCACCCGGAGTCCCCGGCCGGAAGTCCCCGGGGTTGGGGACTGGCTTCAGTAGAAGCTGCTGGGACCCCCAGCAGCTTCTACTGAAGCCTTCCGAGTAAATCGCCAGAACGCCGACACTCCTCATCTCCACCGCTCCCATGTTTTATTTTGTGTTGCCATAAGTTAGTCTCTCTGCGTTTCTGCGCTGGGCTAATGCTAATAATGCTAATGCGAGGATAATAAAATGGTGGCTTCACAACACTTTTTTTTTGTTTTACGGGGCGTGGTTTGCAATCCGCACAGCCAATCAGAAATATAGCTCTTTTCTCACAAGAGAGCCGCATGAAAGTCCCTAGCAGGGATGGAAAAGGGTTCTCATGAACTCATTTTAGTTCCGGCTCTTTTTGGTGTGAACGCGACATTTCGGAACTATATCGAAACTAAAGTGGGAAAAGTACTCCGGTGTGAACGCGGCTCTTGACCTCTTGAGTGAAACGTCAAGGGGTTAAGGGATAGTGGATAGGAGAATTCAAAAGGACTTAGGAGAAGAGACTGCGGTACTTTAGAGAATCCGAATGCACTTT